GTTTAAGTTAACTCATCACTCTTTCCTGTATAAATGATTGAGCTGAGGTGAGTTTTTTTGGATAGGGATAATTGCAATACTATAGTCAATTGCCATTATGTAGTGCAATACGTATTTTATTTTGAAGTGCCAGAGCTTACAAATGTTTGTGCATGTCATTGACATAAGAAGTAAAAGGACCTGAGTACCTAATCAACATTTTTGGGCAAACATTGAGAATGATATCTAGGTGCCTAGAGATAAGCATTAAACTTTAAGGACCAAAGGATATCCAATTTTGTTTACATCTGCTTTTCCAGAAGCCTGTGTGTCTTTCATAGATCTACTAACTGTGCAGGTATCTCAAGTATCCAAGGGAATTTGAAACCATGTTGCCCCCATCTGTTTGGGGCAAATTTCCCCCTATTTACCTGAAAATGGTTTAATCTTTTTTTTTTTTCTTACACTTCCATCCCAAAGTGACCCAGAATCGTCCATTCTCTGACACTTACTAGAAGTGCTCATGCTGTTTGGGGCATACTTTTCAGTCCTACAGTTCTAGGATGTTTCCACTTTCTTCTTCTAGTAACAATTCATACACAGTGGTCTTAGGCATAAGAAACAGATGTGTTGTAATGAGCAAAATCACAGACCATGAGCCAGCACAGGCCAGGCCATGGGGGTTTGACAGCAGACACTAGCTTGGAGTATGATAAACCTGCTCTGTCCACAGCTGAAGTTATGTCAAATGAGGGGCCCCAGCAAGAGGGAAGAGAGCGTTGCTGTATGCAAGCTGTGGGACTTGTAGTTCGTCACATGCAAGGTACCCTGCAGTAGGCACTGCTACAGAATGTATCTTTTGGAGTCTGGTGGAGAGCAAAGTCACAGGCTCGGTGTTTGCAGCAGAAAGCCTGTCTGGAGGCACTCATGTCATTTAGTGGTGAGCAAGAGGGCATTAAACTCTGTGCTGGCTGATGATGCTTATTTCAGGTTGTGCTGCTCTGTCTTCTTTTATAAACCTTCTTTCAAAAGGTTACAAATCAACATATACAAACCTTTATAAACCAATATTGCCTGATAAGGTGGATTTTTGCTTACTCTTCACTCACCTTTCCTGCTGCTCCCCAAAGTCTGAGGAGTAATCATTTACTCAGTGGATCAAGTGTCTCTCAACCTCAGTACTGCTGTCTTTTTTGCTTTCAAAGATACAGGTTTGTGTCTTCTTCCCTCTGCTGCTTTTACTCCTGGTTCAGCAGCTCTAGAATTACCCTGCTTCATCTTCTTGGGCTTGCTTCCTACTCTGCCCCACAAAAAAGCACGTGTTTGGCTCTAAGAACCACTATGACAGCATTTCTTATCTCTTAGGCTATTTTGCCTTTAACATTCAGGGTGGTTTTTCCTCTTGAGTCTTTCACTGGTGAAAGAAAATCTCATTATGCAAACTAACACACCTTTACCCTTTGAAATGACATGAGGCTGACTGCTGCTCTGATGCCCATACTATAACTTGTGTTATCCAAGTCCAGACTCTGCTACATATTACAATAAGCATAATCATTCTATTTTTATGAGCTCTTACACCCCTCTTGCATCTCAGTACACACTAGAAAATTTCCAGTGTTCAAAGTACACAGAGGGCTCCTCTGGTACACCAACATCTGAATCCTGAGGGCAGTTCCAGGTGCTACACAGGTGCCAGTAGTGGTGATACATTACAGCTTAGAACAGTGGTATCTGACAGGGAAAGCGTGGTGCAGGAATGAACCATCAAATATAGCTGTGTTTCTGCCACTGCTGTCATGTGATGAATACACTCTAATTTATTAGACTACCAGCTGAATAATACACCGACTTAAGACCAAAATCTGTTCCATACAAATTAAGTAGACAGCTTTGGCACTTATTAAGTAATGATTGAAAGTAATAATAAAAGCTCTCCCAGTCCTATTCTTTTCATAAGTGTGTGAAACACTGATGTTGAGTAATATTAAAAACACTGGAGTGGTGAAAGTGCCCAAAATATGTCTTAAGTGGAGCATACGTGTTAGCATGAAGAGAAGAAAATTCACACGTATTCTGACATACAGCACCAGTAGTTCTGGAATAGGATATCTGTACCTTTACAACAAAGTATGATGGCATTTTGCCATTTTTATATTAGCTAGCTACATGATATGAATTAATGGATATCTTTGGGGAGGGGGGAAATAGTGAACAATTATAGGAAAATATCTATCTCTCGGACAGGGGTCTTTGTTGGAATTAATATCTGTTTGGGGTTTCTTGTTTCTTTAATAGGTCAGTTTTCCTAATCTTGTACTCTCAAACTAGGAACCATGTCACAACTATTTAATAAATTTGCCAATGTGTCAAAGGCATTATTCAGAGATGAGTGAAAATGGAAGTGTTTTCAACAATGTTACAACAGCAGCGAATTTGTCTCAAGGCAATAGTAGGGAAGAATATCGAGAAGTAGAACCTTATCTGTGATGATTTTGCTCTGGTTTAATATACCAGAAAAATAGTTTGCTCTACTGTTTGGCTCTGAAGGCAGAATCTCTGTTAGGACAATTATTAGATACTCTGATGTGAAATGTTTCCTGAATTAAGTAATGAAGGCAGGTATTAAGGTGCTGAGACTTTTATCATGCAAAGAAAAAGACATTAAATCTTCACTGTCGAAATAATAGGCAGATGCTATCATCTTAAAGTCAAAGACTTAGTGCATGGTGTTAGATGAATCATCTTCTTAATATGAAAATTATGGATGTCTTATCTTAGAAAAATTACTTTTAAATGTATAGTATCAAAAAAAATGCTCTTCCATGCACCCACAAGATAACCCTTTTCCTGTTATGTCTATTTTATGTCTTTCTTCCTTCCTTTAAGAGCAAAATTGAACAAATAAATAAGTTTTCTTTTTTCCTTGTTGAGCTGTTGGCTATATTTAATCATATTATGTAAATCCTCTTTAAAAGCTTCAAATCTGTCTTGGATCTTACAATGTGTAATGTTCAATTACAGAAATAAATTTTAAAAATCAATTTGTTTGTAGATTAACGTAGTTCTTCATGGACCCTAATGAAAATCAACAAGGCTATTTATTTTTAATATAATCCTCACACACATCTGCCTCTCTTCCCAGCATCCTCATCACTTCTCACTTCTTCCTTTCAGGGAGGCTTCTGGTATTGCAAGCTGAATTGCCCAGCTCTCCTACTAGTTGTGCTAGATAATAGCGGTGGTAGATAAAATTTTGCTGACATTCCAACACTGGTTTCCATTACACATTTCAGTCTGCTTTCAGAAGAGGCTCTTAACATGGAGAAACATAATTCCAAGTGAAAATGCTCTGTGGAATGTAACACACACCAGTGCAGAAGTCAAGGATCAGAGCTGTGTTGAGCAACAATACCTGTGGGAGGTCTTCACATTCACACCACTGTAGAGCAAAGTTTCTTCTATAGCTCATGCTAGAAAGCATGACTCTTCTTCATGTCTGTAGTAAAGAAGTAGGAGCATAACTGAGATAAGAGAAATTAAACAATAACCAATGGAGTTTTTTTTCTGTGGATGTCCTACAGTGATTTATTAACTAACTATATGTATAGTTTTAGAAAAACATCTTGAAGTATAAAGAATAGTCCTTGACTTTCAACTTCAATGGCTTAATTCTATATTAAAGCAAACTCTCTTCTTTTTCAATATATTTTCACATAGCTAACACAGTGTTCAAAGTACTTCAACCACAGAAAATATGCTAACAGTTACACTTGTTAATAGGTTTTAAGACCCACCTAAACAGTGACTTGGATCAACTCTGTAGCTCAGCCATTTCCCTTCTTCTTCCAGCTGGTGCACCACCTGTGTTTGAACCTCTGGAAGGACATTTTGATGTCCTTGACCATGATGCCTGTCGGACTGTGGTCAGTTGCTTTACCCACATGGGTGAGCAGCTTTGTTGGAAGCAGCAGTTCTGTCTTTCACTGCCTCCTGGGGACAGGGAGGGAGGCCTGTACCCCAACAGGCAGCTCTTTATAACATTGAAGGAGTGAGCAGTCATTTGCCATAATAGCAGTCCTCTGATGTGAGGCTTCTTGTGCATTTGTGCTGGTGCTAACCCTGCCATATATATATTCTCAGAACATGCTTTTTTGTAATTTTCACAAGCACTGCATGACTTTTAGTTGCAATTTTGAAAAAGAAATCATGCTTAAATAGCATGAAAAATTATAATAATCTTAGAATCACTAAGGCTGAAAAATATCATCTAGCCCAAACATAATGTACAGAATTTGTTTTTATTTAAATGTTTGATATGACCATTTAAAAAATTCTTTTAATTTTGGGAGATTTTAAGTTCCAGAGGTTAGTGGTTTTTTCAGTAAATTCTTGCAAAATGCCTGATTGGAATAGATGTCAGAAAGGTTCCTTTTCTAGTCAGAACTGTGCATACAACTAAGGCTGTGCGAAAAAAATGGTATCCTCTTGAGCAATACTACCTAACACTACTAAACCCAGTTAAATTGCTGCATGTAGAATAGAATTAACCTTGTACAGGGAAGAAGTCTTCAGAGAAGACCTTTTCACAAGTAACAGCATCATTGGGTTTGCGTTCACCGTTGTGGTTTTAACAATTGATGCACATTCAATTTATGGTAGCAAGCTGTGTGTTGTTTGGTGGGAGATGGGGACTTGCCAAGCTCTGTGAACTGTGGTATTCAGATTATCTTTGTGCATATACTTGGCCTTTACCATCACAGTTCCATTCTCTTATGGATGTGATGTAGCCAAGTCTCGGACTGATGCAGTGTGGAAGTATTAACAGGGTCCATAATGTGTGAAATGCTTGAACATGCAATCATGTAAACATGGTTTGCTCCAAATTAATATCAGTATCTAATTAGATTACATGCAATGATGCAAATGGTGCTTTTAGTCTTGCGTGTTTTCCCTGTACTTCTCCGTCACCCTTTATTGCTGTATCTTCTGAATTCTCCCTTCGTTTTCTTTCAACAAAGGCAAGTATGCCATGAGGGATCTGGTCCACCGACTGCCAGGCGCTAACAACAGCAACAGCTCAGCGAGCAAGGCCATGTCTGATGACACCGTTACTGCCATTTGCTGCACTCTGCATGAAGTCATCACTAAAAACATGGAGAATGCCAAGGCCTTACGAGACGCAGGCGGCATTGAGAAACTGGTTGGCATATCTAAGAGTAAAGGAGACAAGTATGTTTTGCAAATCACCTTGCACCTTTCTAACCTCCCCAGTAGTTGTTTCTAGTCCTGAATGTGTTTGCCTTCTCTGTGCAATCGCGAGTTGAATCCTTTTGTTTCAACAGAAATCACGTGCCCAGTGTGAAGGGTGACAAGAAACAGACAATGCCAGTACCAAAAGTTTGCTTTGGTTTATTTTTGATGTGCCATCCACAGTGAAAGGCATGCACTCCATGTGCACTTTAAGGAAGAGTAATTATCTACAGTAACCCCTACCTTTAAGCAATAGCAGAAGATCCTGATAAACATTAGGGATCAAAGTGGTTGGGCTGCACTCTGCACAAGGTGTGACATGCAGGTGGAGGGGTCCTTTGAAAAAAGGACCTCACCCCAATTCTGGTACAGCTTCTCTTGATCTAGGAGTGAAGAATGTAAAGTCACTGTCCCTCTTCATAGCACCCTGCCACCAGCTTGGTAGTAGATCCATGGATTTTCTGACTGGTTGCTCTGAGAGAGCCTTTAGGCTGCTTTGTGATGCAAAAAATGTCTTGCACACAACTATGACATTTTCAGAACAGCTATGGTTTCCTCTTGTCTGTTTGGCTATGTACACACTCTTTATGAAGAGTTCACTGTTTATCCTTCTTGTGCCTAAAACAGATAGCCTGGTTCTCATATTTGTCAACCTGATGAAGTATAGTGCAATGGGACTATGGCAGTTTGAAAACAAAAAGCCTTCACTGTAGTGTTCAAAACCCATCAGTCCATCTATTCGGAGCTGTCATCACACAGCCTACTACAGCATCAGAGCTCTTAAAGAGCCCCACAAAGCCAGGCCACAACCTGAAGGAAAGATTTATGCACCCTACATGTGGTATGAGAACTTATGCTCACCTATGTGATCGGAGCATTGCCAATATAATTTAATCACATTTCTCTTCCTCTATTGTCACCCTTTTCCTTTCATACCAAATTCATTATTGAAACATTCTTGCATTCAAATTGTAAGGGGTAGAAAGTAGTGTGACCAAGTATGTGATTCCAGCTGTGGGAGCTCCCCATGCTCCTCCAATTTATTTATATTTGTATTTTGTTATTATTGAATCTACCTATATTTTTTATTTATATTTTCTAGATCTGACATTGCAAGCAGGTTCATATCCATTTCTCTTAAGCTGAATGTGTAATTCCTCAGAATAATGCATTTGTCTACCTGTTCATTATCTGGTAAAAAATACTAATACCTGTTGAGTCTGGAATTTTTGAAGTATCATGGGCAGTTTTAGGAGGATCCAAGGGCATAATTCCCTGTCTGAATAAACCTCATAACTGTGAAATACATCTATTTCTAATTAGAGCAGAGTAATTCCAAAATATCCTTCCAAGTCATGATATGCATCCCTCCTCTCAAGTACTTTGACCTGCAGTCCTGTATTATTATTTTTACAGGTTGCACAGTTCTAGAACAAGAAAACCTGTCAACACACAGTGCTGCAAATGCCCATCTTAAGTAAAAGTTCAATTTTTCAGCTTTCAGAAACGTCAGTACTGTGTGCTATTGGTTTGGTTTGGTTTCTTACACATAATTCATTGTTTGAAAACCAAAATTGCTGGTTGTTGGACTGATAGAACATTTCGACATGCTCACTTTAGTACTGTAAATCACTTCTGTATGAAGTCATTTTGTCCAGTGTGAAGCAACTGCTTCTGAATGTGTAGGATACTGAACTGGTCATTCGTGCTGGTATGTGTCACTGTCAGCAGTTTGGTGCTGGCCTGATAACCTTTGGAATTATGCCCAGGACTTGAACAGCCTCCCTGTATGACTCCATGAGAGAACTGGTGTTCATAAGGTTGTCTATATTGGCCAAGCCCATATCAGCTTCACATGGCTTCTGCTTCTCCTCAGTACTTATGGAGTGGTTGGCACAGTTGTTTTCCTGGTTACTCCATGCTTACCAGCACCCCACTAGCCAGTACATCTGGAAGTATAATAAAAATAATTTTGCTTCAAAGGGCTTATCAAAACCCTGTTTACTCACCAATTAGCCACCTACTGCTCTACTCTGGGTGAGAAATGGAATAGAAGTGGAAAAAAGCACCAAATAAATTACTAGGGAAACGTTGTATTATTGAATCAGTTGTATCATAACAGCAACAGCACTTTACAAGCTTACATGTCAGCCTACCAGTGATTCTTTTCAGAAGTCACAGAATGAACCAAAGCCTGGCTCCTGCCCAAAGCAGCAACTTATGATTGCTGCTAGTTTTCTGGTTTCCCTTTGATGTTTCAAACCGTATGACTCTTCTGAGTAAAACATAAATCACCTCAATGACTGCTTTTTATGTATTTTTGATCCTGCACAGTGTATGCTTCCTTATTGGGCTGGGTTATTTTCCTGGTCTTTTTCTATTTGACCCTTCTTCACTGAGATGAATGCCCTCAATTTATTTTTTAATTACCTATTCCAGCAGGAATATATGACACCATCTGATTGTAACAATAGTTTAGACCTTCTTTCAAAACTTGTCTGAAGATAAATACTATGTGAAGTTACATGGTTTTCAACACAGCATTGTATTCCTGTCATTAAAGGATAGCGGTGTGAGCAAAATCCTAGTCCACATTTGGATTCCTAATGTAATTTATCATAACTTTTTGTAATCAGTTGTATTTCTGCATCTTGGCTCTGCATTTCAAAACCAGTGCTCATTAGCCATCTAGAGTTTCTTTTGGCCACTGCTGAGAGGTGCTAAATGAGTTGAGTGCACTGTCCTGAGCTAGAGTTCAGCACCTTGCAAAGAAAGAAATTCTGCTCTATCTCCTTGTCCTTTATGCCAAAAGTTGTAGCATATCTTAGATATACATAGTGTCAGTTGGGTCCTCAACAATTTTGCCAATTGCTACCTCCTAATCTTACTATTATTTCTGCTTTCAGCAGAAATCCCCGTGTGTACTGAGATGCACAAGTTTTTTCTCCTCACTGATTGATTAGTACTATTGCCCTTGCTTAAAAACATATTGGGTCTCCAAGATGCCAAGCAAAGATCTTACAGTATACTTGAAACACTGCATTTGTGGGTTTAAATCCACAGCAGTGCATTTGAAAATTGGAATGAGTGGTGTTCTTTATTTAACAGTCTCTTTCTCACTCTTTTTTTTTTCTCTCTCTCTCCGTTTTTAATGTATGCGTGTAACAGACATTCGCCTAAAGTGGTGAAAGCAGCATCTCAGGTCCTCAATAGTATGTGGCAGTACAGAGACCTGAGAAGTCTCTACAAGAAGGTAAGGCTTGGTTTTTTCTAGATTTATCATATTTCTTAGTGTTATCCAAATTTGGGGGCTGAGAGACTTTAGACCAAAATATTTGTTTATGTAACTGGAAATTCACTTGGAGTTTAAATTTCAGATACTTTGAGTTCTTATTTTTTCCATAATTTCTACTTTTAACGTAAAAATTCCCTTTGAAAATATGTGTGATGGTGAAAATGGGATGTGAATTTGATTTTGAAATAAATTCATACAAAGGGTGCTGGATCTGACAGCCTTGGAGAATGAAATCCTCTGTACATTGAATGTATGTAAGCTCTCCTACTGGAACAGTCCTTCTTATACCTCCTCACTTTTTCCTGAGGAGATTACCGAATTTCCAGCCCTTCAGCTCCCAGGTTTCCTCATGAGATTGTAAACAAGAGTATCTGAAGGAGTGGTGCTTAGGGACCAGCTGGGCAGAAACCTGTAGCTTTGTTTCTAATCAGCCAGCAGACAGTGGCATCATATACTTGGTTTTCAGTCTGTTGAGTCCATAGTACCATGTCATTCCCACAAGCCTGCTAACCTCTTGAAAATGAATTGCAGTAGAGTAATATAACACTGTGAAACAACATTCTATACAGCTTTTTTAACTTGTGTCTACTTAGTAAATGAAAACATTTACAGCAATTCTTGCTCAATATTTCCGAAAGAAATTACATTCCATGTGAGTGTGAGCTTGCAGATTTAGTTCTTCAATGTCTTCTTGCTTGGAATGTCACATCTTATGTAAGTGATATTTGTATTTGGAATCTCATCAGAGAGAGCTAAGGCTTCGTGTGGCGTCTTCAGTTCAGGCCCTAGTTAAGGCTGAGTTTTAAGGATTGTGAAGTAGGGAAGGTTCACAGTGGTATGGTCTGTGTTGTATTTTGCACAAGAAAATAGCTTAGTTATTTGAAATGCATGAACCAAATCTCAAGCTGGCAGAAGCTGACCTTCTGTGTGAAATGCTGTTCTTTTGCATGCCTCATCCCTGCTTGTGTCAAGTCTGAGGAGTGAGGAAGATGGTTATTGAGTCTCTCCCATTGTTCACTTCCAGTATTTTCAGTCATCCTTGGCAGCCTTAGGGATACCATATGTGAACACATTCCAAGTAACAAGCTGGTCCACAACTGTTCCATTAAGAAGTGGGAACAAACATGAACAGGCTTTTCTTGATCCAAGGCAGTAACACGCTGGAAGTGTGCGTAGCCTGACTTCTGTGCATGTGGGTGGCTGCACTGTAGAAGCTGAGCTGTTCTGCACCGTAATCTCTTAAAGGTTTTTACAATATCTGGCTCATGTCCAACCTTCTGTCTGTGTATATGTGCCGTGATGGAAAAGCACTTTCTGGGGTTGCTCCATGCAGCAGGTAATAATGTTTGTGCTGTGTGGCTGCTGAGTTTACTGCTACCTAAGGGACACTGTTGGCTGCTGGTGTGACTGCTGGTGATGGACTTACTTGCATACTAAGCATGTTCAGGTACTAAGTACCTTACATGCTTACAAAAGCATTTTCCATGGCCACAAATACAGACTTCTGATATGGAATATAGGACAGGCTAGCTTTAGAGGTAGCTTCCAGGACACTCACAGCAGATAGATTATGTATATTATCAGGAAGAGAATTGTATTTATGTCTATATTACTTAATTCCTACACAAAACCTTAAAATTAAGATCAGTCTCTGCTATGTATTTGTATACTTATTACATGCCATTATATGTACTGTTAAGCCTTGTATAAGTAAGGGTTTTTTTAATCAAAATGTTCAGATAGTTTATTTTAAATACTCCTTTTTGTTAAAATACATACAATTATCTTTCTAAAATTATAATATTTATTAAACTTGCCTCTAATAGGCTGACTCTTATGCTGGCTGTCTGAGTTTAACCACTGTTAGGAAGGCAATGTCAATGGTTTTATGATAGGAAAATTAGAGAAGTTTGCAGTATACTAATAGTCAGCTACTTATGTAATATAAAAATACTGGATCAATGCAATCTTTGTTTGTCCCATTAAAATATATATGTACCAGCAAAAACGAGTGAAAGTAGAGTGTAGTACGATTAGCACTTCTCAGTATCTTGCATTTGCACAGCCTTTTTTGAAGTGCAGGTAAATCCCATTGCATAACCATCAGCAATTTGCTCCCATATACTAAAGTATCGATACAATTGCTTTCAAAGAATTGGCCAACAGAGACACAATTTTGTATTGTAATACAAGGAAATTTCAAGCATCCCATTATAGTTAAGTGAAAGCAGCAGCAATTATCTTCTGTTTGAGAAACAATGTAACCAAATAGTTTGAATTGTGATATATTTTAGACCTACACATTCACAATAACGTAAGAAGTTGTGAAAAGAATAGAAGCACTATTCTTTATTAATAGGCAAAGAAGGCAATATATGTTTACTGCTGATACAGTAGCAGTCAATATATTTAGTCCAAGTATGACTGGATCAGCAAAAACTCAAAACCTCTTTCATTTTTCTAATTTTGCTCAACATTGCGAGGAACATCCTACAGCCAGCAGGAAATAAACTGCACTGACAGAAATCCAGAGTTGGGGATTGGTGTGAATGTTCTTTAAGTCCACAATATCTTATGCACTGTGTTTGCAGTGCCGTGCCACAACCTGTAGGCTCCACTGGCAGGCGCTATCCAATGTCTGGGGATTTCCAGGTTGTGGCTTTAGTGGGACACACAGACTCTTTAGGCTGGGCTGGCATGGAAAAGACACAGAAAGTAAACAGCAATTAGATCTGTGAGTGAAGCAGTAGTGTTAGATAGTCCTCTGTAGGCTTGTGCTTTGAGGGAAAAAAATCAGTTTTGCTCCCTGGTGTGGTTAAGTTGGCACTCTCCTAACACAGTCCAACAAGGAAAAGTTATAACATGCATAAATATTTCTGGTCCTAAAACTGTAGGAAATAAAAAAAATCAGAAAAAACAAAAACAAAACCCAAAACCAAACAAAAAAAAAACCACAAAAAAAAAAAAAAAAACGGAGACCAGACAGACAAAGAGGAAACAATTAATTTAGTATTGAAATGAAGGAGTTGCTAGCCACCCCAACAGTTGCAGGTCCTTCATCATGCAAGAGCTCATCAGAAATACTGTTTAATTTAAAAGCAATAACTGGTACAGAAATCCAGTCTGAAAGAGTCCACAAAGAGGAAAACAATGTTCAAGTTCAGTCACATATAGACAGTGATTAGATTATTTTGTGTGATTAATTTCTCTAAAGGAAGTGATCACATTTTACATTGGTGGAGAAAATATGGTCTCCCAAAGACAATATCTTAATTTTCAAAGTTCTTTGTTTTCTACAAGCAAGATATATATTCAAAAGTGATAATTTATCTGTCTCTGTTTTCATGAGTCTGTTCCAATTGACTTAAAATCTGATTTTCAAACATCTTTAATGTTCCCATGGCCCAAGGCCCCATGGGTGGGTCAGTGGCTCAACACGTCAGAAAAACAAGGTACAGGAGCCATACCACAGCCTGTTCCTATGCTTCAAACTCCTGGTACAACCCTCTTCTTCAAGTGTCTTGGCAACCTGTATTATAGAGTTAGCAGGGGAAATGAGTGCTGCTTACAGCATCCAGAAAGAGAGATCCTGCCCTATTAATGCTTAGCTTCTTAAGCAAGTTGCAAGGATCTACTATGTCACTTTTTTAAAGGCACCTATTTTTAACTCAGTATCACTGTCCCATGCTCCAGTCTCTTGGATATTCACTGGTTGAATGTTTGGGGACACCTGTGTGACTATAAGAGAGCAACTTTCCATTAGCTGGTAAACTCTTCTTTATGTCAATATTCAAGAAGTTAGCCAACTACTCTTAAATACAGATAGCTTGTTAAATTACATGAGTAAATTTGAGCAAAAATGTTGTGCTAAATTAGTTTAACATGAAAGAAAATTTATTAGCTAAAAACAAGCTTCAATTAGCATTAAATGTGTGTAGTATTAAAGAGCTGGAGGAACTGTCAGGAAGAGTATGCTTTCTGTTAATTGGTTTGCTTTGCCTAACCACTTAGGCTCCAACAAAATATATTTAAATTCTGTCATTATATTTACACTTGCTTTGTCTCCCAGTATGTAAGCAGAGGTCATGATGAATTTGTAGAAAATATTTTTCTTTCCCATTTATTGTGGTACATTTCTGTTCTGCCCAGAATATTATAAATGTTTGTCCCATTCACCTACCATCTGAATAAAAATACCACCCAACATTGGAAACCAGGGAGGCTGTTGAGGACAGTTGTCCTTTGTGCCATTTACAGCAGGGATACCTTTGTGATAGGCCTTTAATGGAGTCACTCTGAAGATGGCCTCAGCTGTCATTGGTTAGAAAAAGATACATAGAATTGGCTGAAGTCTTCTTAACAGTTACGGCCATGTGGATATAGGAAAAGACTTGCTTTTCATGTGACTTTCAGAATAATAAGAAGATGGCTTTATGAGAAGTTCTTTATGACTAAATGCACCATGAAAATTGACAGCATTAAAATTCAAAACCTTAATCTCAAGGACTTTTAGAATCTAGTATTTTCTTAAATACCTACTCACCTTTTAAAAATGGTAATTACAATGTCTGATCATGTAAACTTGGGACACATCATTAGGATTTTCTTCTGGTAAGGTTATTATTATCAGTCAGACATCCCCCGAAAGGAAGCTGGTTTAGGTTAAATTTATCTAGTGAAAAGGTCTGTGCAGAACTTAAACCCTACATGAAGATCTAAATTCTAAATCCAGAGCATAATAATTCCTTAAAAATAGTGAATTGACTTGAAGGAACTATTCATGTGTTCGGATTATTCATGAGCATATGTACTTTGCAGTGCGATCTTTCAGCGGGGCTTAATTTATTTCTGTACAATTGGCAAAAGCATTTTTCAGATTAATATGTCACCCTCTTAGAAAAAGGATGAATTAATTTAAGATAAACCCCCTTCTGTAATATGAAGCTAAAATATCATTATAGAGAAGGCATTGTCTAGAGCCCATTTTTATATTAACTGTGAAAACGCAAGTACCTGATTAATAAGTGATTGACTGATTGATTGATTGATTTATGGCAGTGGGCGTCCCCAAGCTTCAGTGTGACTGATGACAGAGGATTTTCACCAACCCACGACGCTGGGTCATGGCACGCTCAGCATGCTCTCTCCCAGAGCCAAGAAACCAGAACCTATTCCCCAACCCAGGTATTCTGGCTGTCAGCTGACCAGTCTTGAATTGTTGTGTTTCATGCATACTGAGATTTGTACCCAAAGCAGTTCTTCAGGAGACCTTTGAGTCAAAATTAACAAAGCCTAACTGAAGAATGTGTTCTTAACTTGCACAGTTTAATTCACTGAACCCTGCAGGTTCTAGATGGAAAGTGCCTCACTTCACTTAGAGAGAGCAGAACTCTGCACACCTTCCTTGCACGTACTCTCCTGAGGACAGCACATAGCAGTGAGAGGGACAAGTGCATTGTATCCAGTTCCCTAACAAGCCTTCCATCATTTCTCTGATCTCTTTCACAATTGTCTCAACCTTTCAAAGGGAAAGAAGGCTGCTGATAAGTGCTATGTCGCAACAGCATTTTAAATTTATCAAGCACATTGCTTTGTTTTCTGGCACAACAGCATCTCTTAAGAAAAAAAAGCAATGGCTGGACATTTCAATAAGGGGACCCCAGGTAAACTGGAATATTTATAGAAAAGTCAGTATGTCCAGGAGCCAATTCAATTCTTAAAATGCTAATTTTCAAAATCTCTATTAAGAGTGATAATTTATATTTCCTTCATGCAGAATTTTAGGTGATAAGAATTAGCAGGACTGGCTCTTTTTTTCTTTTTAATTAGAGGCAATCTTTATTTTGAGGTACTAAAATTCCATTTACTTAACCAAGTAAATTTCATTTACTTAACCAAGTGTATTCTTTTTTTTCTTTTAATATTTTTTCCATAATAAAATATTACTTTGTGGCATTATGACAAAACCATAATGCATTCTACATACACACAACATCCTAGTAAGTACATGGAGTGACTGTGTTTATGTCTGTGCATTATGCGTGTGTATATATGTCTGTATATTATCTCTGATAAAATATTTAGAGGAAATTGGAATTTACATGTTTTTCCTGGCCCCACAGAGCATAGTAGCTATGCTATTTCTTTCATCTTTTTGGTTTTTTGCACTATGTTTGCCTGGAAAAGAAAAGACATCAGAGAAGACCTCATTTACATACTCCAGACATAAATACCTTTCAAGGTTAGGATAAATCCTTTTCATCTTTAGCTAACGGGAATATAGTTAAAACACCCAGCATTTCATCATCTGAGATATTACATTACTTTCTTTTGTTAATTAGGAACTAGGCAAAGTCCTAATTTGACTTTAAATAAAGGAAATGTGGACATTTTTTGCCTAAGTAAAATACTCTCAAGCCTTTTTAAAGCATCATCTGATTAATTTCAGTAGAAAGAGATTCTATAACCAATATAGCAAAATAGTTATCATCTACAAATGTATACTTTCATTTTTTCTTTCTTAAGGAAGATGTGATTTGCCTTTAGTTGAGCATTTTCAATGCAATCTTGTGAAATACTGAATCCTGAAATTGTCATTGGATTCATTACTAGAGAAAAAGTTGGCATTACTGATTTGTGGGTGTTTGCATTCTTAATTCTGCATTTTATGCTGAATATTACTTTCCAGTGTTTATGTCAGATAAGTGTGCCTATTCCAATGCACGCAAAAGTACGAAGAATTTCATCATTAAAGCAAAGGCATATTTTGTATTCTGCAGCAAATAACAGGTAGTTGCTGCAGAGCAAAGAATGATATGATCATCTTTTCACATTATTTCTTAGAGACACGAGAACCTCTTCAGTGAGCAATGATATGAGGATCTGGAACTTCATTTTTACCTTGATGTTAGTTTTTCAGCATAATTTTCCCTAGGCAGCATCACCATATAAACTTACCATTTAAATTACGTCCTCTTTTGATTGTGTAAACCTTCCCAGGGATTGTTTGTTTAAGAAACATTCAAACCTTTGACGAGAAAATTTTAACATTTCTGGCTTTTTGATTGCCAATTGCCTGCTTGAATAGCACCCTCTTTGTCTATACAATAGGAATTTACATATCATGAGAAAAATCATGAATCCTAAAGGGGAAATAGTGCAAATAAATTGAACTGTCATATAGAAGCAAACTATTTGCCTTATGCAGAAGTAGTCAGGAGTATCCTGACAAAGGAAAAAAGATGTAAAAACCACTCCTGAATTTTTAAAAATAGAGAGAGAAAAATCTCATAATTTGTAAAAACACATATTGTTTTCACCTAGCTGCATTACCATTTGAAATCTTTTGGTGTTGCCTTCAGGGGAGGCAACGGCGACCTGGTTCACAAGGAGCAGCACGGCAGCCCGGCCTAGTCTGGGCTACTCGGGCTAACGACACACGCTGGCACCAATGTGGTGGACGGTCGAAAGTGTTTATTATCTTATCTCATGGGTTTAAATAGTCTTGGGGGACTTTGCTACGTCGGTTGGGGTTGGTAGGGTCTCTAGGGTTAGTCAGGAGTGGAAAACTACTGGGTTAGGTGTGGTTACATGTTCTGGGGGTGGTAGATAACATGTTGCAGGGTGAAGGGGGGAAGGGTCTTTCTTTCCGTCACATCCCGAGATCTTCCGTTCGCCTGTCCCTATCGACTACATCTTGGCTACTTTTTTAAGAAAAACAATTTTTGAAAAGACCAAAATATTACAGAATGTTAAGTGAAACTGAATGTTATTTTGATTTCCTTTTAATGCCCATAATTATCATTTTAGTTGTGTCGTCAAGTGAATATGTTCTGATTTCCTTGGCTTTTTCATCATCTCAAGTAATTTTTTTTTGTACTCCTTCTAATTTTCAGTTTATTAAGAATCTCAAATAGTACTAGAAAGATAGCAAGTGATTGCTATTATAAAAATATGCTTTGCATGGCCTAAAGAGGGTAGAAAATATTTTACAGTGCAAAATATTCATGTTCTTACCTATATCACAATGGCAACACATGGAGGAGTATCAAATCACGTGTTTCAATATCAGTTGTTAGAAGGAGATGTTCTCAAATGTTTTATCCTTATGGATTCCAAAATTTACTATATATTATAAGCTATTTTAATAATTTTGTATTTAGCATAGTCAAAATATTTGTGATGCTCTCAACAAAGATTTTTTTACTATGCAGTATCACCTACCATTCCATTAGTTATGTTTCAGTATTTACACATTTCTCTCTAAAACAGTTTCCATGTCCATGATGATATTGAAAATACTAATAGCAATCTAAGATAGTCTGGGCTGAACTGAAAATTCAATACCAATGATCCTTTTCATGAAGACTGACCTGCCCTTACTTGTACTATTTCAGTAATGAATGACATCTTTAAAAAAGTCATGTAAGTCATGTATGATAACTGAGCAGAATTAGAGAAAAACTAAAGGTGTTTTTTGTTTTTTGTTTTTTTTTGGTGGTTTTTTTGTTTTTGGTTGTGGGTTTTTTTGCAAATACTTGTGTGTCTGTTGGACAACATATCTGTGTGTTTGGTGTTAAATACCTCTATGTACATGTGCATGCAAACAGGCTGTGTTGATGTAAAACTTGAACACAGCCACAGAGTAGATTTGGAGGGCACTGTCTTTAAGTAGGATGCCCACAATACCCGTAGGTTGGATACTATGTAAAGATTCTTCACCCAGAGGATGGTTGGGCACTGGAACAGGCTCACCAAGGAAGTGGTCACAGCACCAGCCTGCCAGAGCTCAAGAAGGGTTTGGACAATGCTCTCAGGCACATGGTGTGACTTTTGGGGTAGTCCTGTGCGAGAGTTGGACTTGATGATTCTGACAGGTCCCTTCTAAATCAAGAGATTCTGTCTGTGATTCTACGTCCAAACAAAGAGACGTTGGGAATGTGTAAATAAATAAGCCCTAATGGTTTTAGGTGTGCGCTTAGAAAGTATCTACAGCTATGGTTGACTCTTGCTTTTCCCCTGAGGGTTCTAAGGGCATGATAGTACTTCCTTCTAGCATTGAGCATTATAGCAAGCAAGAATTCAACAACCAAATTAAGTAGTAACTCTTCCACATAATCACTAAGGAGTGCATGGAAGCTGACACCACTCTCATCCAAAATCTACTACATTCAAGAGGTGCTAAACAAATGATAAAATAATCAAAGTTTATCCAAACAATTCTCTAGGATGCACCATATATATGTGACACTAAAGCATCCTCAGCATTGATGCTGGGTCTCATGGTAAACTCTAAGGGAATGCTGAGGTGTTGTTCACTTAAAAACTCAAGTCCACTCTAAGGTTGCTAAGTACAGATCTAGAAGAGAGAAATTTAATCTCATACTTGTGTAGAGTCTGTCCCCAAAGTACTCTTCCCTTTAAACTTCTCTGAAGAAAAGAAAAATTTAAATGCAGCACAGGAGTCAGTATCTTTAACTTAAAGCCCTCTTTCTGAAGGGAATTGTATAACTGAAGTTTCTGAAATATCCTTAGGGTAGAGCTATGAGGAGGCATCCAGAATCCAGAAGGTTATGCATAGGTCACATCTACAGATGTTTTTTCAAAAGTATGGCACCTCAGAATAAAATTGGATTTTAATATTTGAATAGAATATAGAGACCTAAGAAAATTAACTACATATATTTTGGTACTGGGAACATTTTTAGTCCTTTTAAATAATGTATTAAACAATTTTTAATTAATATAAACATTAATTTATGGCAAATAATACTTACCTGGATTCATATGTACACTACTGAAAAAAAATCCAGACGTCGTTCTAAAGACTTTCAAAGGTGTTTTAAAGTTACATGCAAAGAGAAACTATTTTTAATTGATGTCAATATTTTTCTCCAAAATTAATTAAAGGAATATTATTTCTACCATTCTGAACAAAATGTCATATTTAATTAACTTGTATGCTTAATATTTGCATATCAGGCACAGATCAAAGTAGATGTGCAGTTAAGATTATGGGTGAGGAACTCGGTTCCTCTCAGCAGACTTGAACAGGATTGCTGGATGGTGTTGGATGGCTGCTTACAGTTTTGCAAATGAGTCAAATCAGCAGAACTCTTACTTGCAGTAATAGCACACTCATGGAGCACAGAGGGGAGGGAAGTCAATTAATTATTGTGTCTATC